AAGGATTTGATGAGTATCTGATGGATTCAAATATCAACAAGATCTCAATAAAAAATGTGGACTCTCGGATGGGTGTCAAATACAATTCGGGAACCAATACCATTGTGTATCTTGGTGAAGGTATGGCTGAAAATAATGATGAAGAGAATGAAGATGATGATGATGCTCCTCCTCCTCCTCCAAATGAACATGGTCCGAGTAACCAACAGTTAATGGACTACATGACTCAATAGTTTGGGAATCTAAAAAATTCCATCAATGCTCAGTACAATGTTATTCAAGAGTCAACCAACGCTCAGATCAACAACTTTCAAGAGAACGTGAACCAACAGTTCTCCTATCTGTACTCTCACTTATACATTCCGCCATATGACCCTTCAAACCCGACTGTCCCTCCAAATCGTCCATCACCTCTACAGACAAATTTTCCTAACCAACCAACCTTTGACCCTGACATGGATCTGTCATAGAAACTTTTTACTATGTGTTTAATGTCATTTATGTTATTTGAATTCCGTACTTTCATGTTTCTTTGTACTATGTTCAGTTTGTAATTTGAAATTTTTTATCTAAGTTGGTAATTTATTTTCAAATATTATCATGTCTATCATAGATATATATTATTATTGCCTTAATCCATTTTCCCTTCTTTTTGATAATGTCAAAAGGGGGAGAAGGATGTTACTTTTCTATTGCTTGTATCTTTCCTTGATCCTTCAGGAACAAATACAAAGACTATTTCAAACCTCAATACAAATTCAGAACTTCTCAACTTCACACATTGAGGGGGAGAAGAACTTGTCAACTTCACAAATTGAGGGGGAGAAATAATTTTCCAGAAAGATCATTGCAACAAAAGAAGAGTGCTTTGTCATCATCAAAAAGGGGGAGAATGTGAAATCAAGATTCTCAGATATCAACATATGTTTTGATGAAGACAAATCATTTAAAAGAAGGCAAAGATGATCAACCTCAAAGCATCAGGACAAACACAACTTTAAGGATGTTTTCCACAAGGTATAATGAGAAGGTTCATTTAGTATCTAAGTCCTAAACTTCTCAAAACATTAAAAGATTACTTTCATTCTTTTTTTCACTTCACAAGCTTTTAAAATGAGAATTTTTCTATGTCTTTTTCAGTGCAATCGATTGCACTCTTGGAGCAATTGATTGCATGATCAAATTCTTAACTCATTTTTGCTTCTGTTTCAGTAAGCAATCGATTGCTGCTTTGATGCAATCGATTGCATACTTAAAGTTTTCAAAATTTTCACTTCTGTTTTGAAGTGCAATCGATTGGTCCAATGGTGCAATCGATTACTCTTTTGAAATTTTGAATTTTCAAGTAAAATTGTGAAGGTGAAATCGATTGGCCTCTTTGTGCAATCGATTGCTCACTGAACGTTTTTGAAAAATCTATTTGAAAAGTTGCATCTCTTCAATCAAATTTCAGTGGAATGTTTCCTTTGAAACATGACAACTGTTCATCAACTTTTCTGAAGTTTTGCATGACTTTTCAAAGAGGTATTTGTGTAATATAAATACTTCAATCTTTGATTTTCAAAAACACCTCTTTCAATCAAATCAAAAAAATATTTAACATATTTTTATCTTTCCACATCTAAGTAAGAATCAATTTTTACTAAGAATTTTCTGCATAAAATTTCATATCTTTTGAAAAGAAAATTCTTGAGCAATAAGTCTTAGAAACTTGTGGAATTTCTCATTGAAAGAGAAGATCAATCTCAACATTGATAAACATCTGTATACATTATTTCAAATCTTTACAAAATCAGAATTGTATGTATTTCCCCTTGTTATTCAGGATTGTTGAAAGCAAGTGTGTGCATTAGAGAGGATTGTTCTCATTGCACTTAGTGTTTAGATCTTAAAGGTGTTTTAAGAACCTTTGATCTCCTATAGGTTAGAACAAATTGTACATTGATCCTAACTATAGTGAAATCTCTTTCGTGTTGAAAGGGGAGTGGACTACCCTCGGGGTGTGAGGGGAACCACTATAAATCTTTGTGTCTCTTTTACTTTCTGCCTTTACAAGCTTTCAAATCATCTCTTCATTAAAAAGAAAGTAACATAGCCCTCTTAAAACCAGAAAATTTCAAAGAACCTAATTCACCCCCCCCCCCCCCCTCTTAGGCGCATTACTTACTCACATATTGGTCCCAACTGATGACATTTAGAGCACTTAAGAGCTTTCATTATTCCGACTGACACAAGTTAGAGTGCATAGGAAGTCAGTTGATTCCAACTGACACCCAATTGAATATTTAAGAGAAATATGAGGAATTACAAGAATGATATCTTCTATTTGAGCTTTCTATGGAGCATTTTTGTTCCCTTGTCGGTGATTTGTTTTGTATGAGATCTATTTTTTGTACCTTCTATTGGGTGTGTTGTTTTTGGTTTGACTATTTCTCCTATCTGACCTACTTAAATGCATTATATCCCTAAATGTTTTATTTTTTCTAGTTTCTTTATTCGGAGAAATTAGAGTTTGACCTAACTCATCTTTACAAAACAGACTTGTTATTAAGGCGAGGGGTGTCACTCTATATATAAACTCTTTCAATGCTATGTCTCCAACCAACATGGAACTTGAGATCTTCCCAACACATCTTCTTGCGGCCAACACTTTTTTTTGTGTGGCTTTGTGCATTAACTTAAATGGTGGACGGCCTAAGATTCAATAAATAGGCTCTGATACCATATTAGAGTTTGGTCTAAGTTATCTTTACAACCTGCTTGTAAGATGAGAGGTGTCACCTTATATAAACTCCTTCAATGTTCTATCTCCAATCAATATAGAACTTAGGATCTTTTCAATAGGTGGGTATCACTGATGTTGAAAGTTTTTTTTATAAATAAATATTACCATTGTCTTTAAATAATTTTTTTTTGAGTTTATTGTTTGTTCATTTCATAAAACCATTTACATCTTTTACAAATGAAAATAATAGTTGATAAATAAAACAAATCTATTTTCTTAAATATTCTTTTGTCTCGCAATTTTGTTTTCTTTTGTTTTTCTCTTCCTTAGTCAAATAAGCAGGAAGTTGATATTGATAGGTATCAATGTTTGAAGGTTTTGTTGTATGAGACATTCCCTTATGAGAAGAAATGGGATAAGGTTAATTGGATTGCTGACGTCTCTTTAGTTTTTAGTGTGAAGTTCGCTTATCAACAAATGTTGGAGAGTAAAGAAACAAATCTGTTGTCCATTGATCAAGTTAATGCATTCAAATAATTTTGAATGATTAAGGTGCTGACGAGAATCCTTTTATTTGGACGAAGACTGTTGTGAAACAGGTTGGCTACAAAAGACCTTTTAATTAGAAGACTCTCAGTGAATTTTGTGCAATCTAGTTGAAGAAGAATTGAAGCATCTCTTTTTTGAATGTTTTGTTTCTTTGGTTGTTTGGGATAAGATAGGCGGATGGTGTGGGTGTTTTGGTATTTATGATGGATGTATCTGGAAATATTTTTTGGAATGAAGTGGTGTAGGTAATAACAAAGTAGAAAATTTAAATAGGGGATCCATTTGGTTGATTGTGGTGTGTTGTCTGTGAAGGGATATGAATGTAATAGTCTTTAATAGTGGTTCTTGTATTGTTAATGAAATTTGTTGGAATATTAAGTTTTTAGCTTGAAAATGAGCTTGTATTAGAGATATTCTTTATTCCAATTCTAATTTTCTTTGGGTGCTCTTGTTAGTGTAGTGTTGGTTGAAAATATATTTTTTTACTTTTTGATTGTAATGGGTTAAAATATCCCTTGTATTTTTTTCAATCTCAATTGCAATGTATATATTCATCACTAAAAAAATAATAATATCATAATCAAAATCGAAATTTAAGTTGAAAAGTTACACTTCATATAAAAAGTTCATATTCCTACTCCTAACACCAAATTCATTCCAAATGAAATAAGAAAAATCTTCAAAGTTGCATGAATGGGTTAATTTAAAATAACAATATTTTCTAATAATTATTCACAATTTAACAATAAAAATTTCTTTTATGATATTTTTTTAGCTACAATTTAATTATGATAAATTTTAAATTCTGTATCATAATCTATCTTGCACATCTCTAAATACGACCCTGAAATTTAAGCTAAATACTTCTCGTGGTTCTTTCTTATAGTATCTCGAAAAAATAAATAAATGAAATACCTTAAAATATAATCAATTTTTTTTTGACTCAATTTGTGAAACAAACACCCCTAAGTTACAAACATGAATTTTATATTTTGTGAGACTCGTATGAAGATTAAGTATAAAGAGTTGAATATTAAAGATTCCTAAACTATACTATGGTGAAAAGTGCTCAATTTAAAGTGGAGGTTCTTTTATTAAGACTAAAGATAAAGAAGATGCAGAAGCTCTCACTTCTAGTTCTACAGAGAAAATGATTTTATTTAGGTAAAGGGACTTATTACAATCTAAGTTGGAGCAAATAAATATTAAAAAAAACTTTCTTGCATCATAATCTTTAAGAGACAGTACACATTTAATAAGCTAAAGATTTTGTAAAGGACAAGTTTAAACCGTATTTTTTGAAGAAATTTTTATATGATTTGACACGAATCTCTAGGCAATTGTAATCTAGATGATTGAAAAATTGACAATTCTGAAATTAATTTATCATGTTTTCCTGTTTCTTTTGTGATAACAATTTCCTTCTAACTTGAGAGCTATTAAGTTGTTTGTAAATAAATAAAAAAAAACTGATAAAATCACAACTGAATGTTGGAAATTAACTATAAAGTCATTTAATATTCATTAATGTTTATCATCAATAATCTCAAGCCTATACAACACATGATAGGTTTACAACTACTCACACACAAGCTAGTCATAACTGACCCTGGTGTCTCTACCAAATACCAATTAATTAATTGATAATCATAAAACTAATTATTCATAACACTTATTCAACTAAGCATAACAAAATCTCAACAACAAAAAAAAACAGTATATTATATTATGAAGCCACAGCTACTTGAATCCCTCCTTCGTTGCTTGGCATAAAACTCACCCTTTTCTGTAAATTTAAGATAAACACTTTAGCAAAATAAATAATAAATGATTAATAATAATAATAATTCAATCACACAATGTTCACACAAAAATATTAATCACAACTTTTTTTGAAGTCAACATTGGTAGGATATTTTTTTTTTTGGAATATTCAATCTCTAGAGAGTTCAAACATCATTCATTGGCCTAAAATTTTGAAAGCAACAAATTCTATTACAACTACTCTTTCTCTCCTTAAAGGGATAAACATAAAGGTGATAGTTGACCTTTGAATTTCCTTAAACACACCTTTAAGATCACTAAATAGCCTAAATACATCACCTTTAAAATTTGGATTCAATTCATCTTCAATTTTAATCATTAAAATCACAATTGTTTGATTATTAAAAGTAATCACATTTTACCTAAAAGTAATATAAAAGTTAAGTGAAGAAAATGCAATGATTTGTCTTCCAATATAAAATTTTACATAAAATATTTTAGCCAGAGTACGCGTTTATGAATAAATTTACATATACTATTTTATAATAAAAAATAAAATATATTTAAATTATATTTATATATGTTATAATATATTTTTACTCGGAATCTTTAAAAATTTATAACAAATTTTTTTTTTAAATATAAAAAATATCATAAACTGTTTTAATAATTTTTTTAAATAGTATGAAAATTTATGATAGTAGATAAATTCGAATAAATCGATAAAAAAACGTCAACAATAGACTAATAAGACATGATTATGAAAGTCGAAGTAATTAATTAAGAAAACAAACCTGTCGCGGTGTGTTAACTTTCTCATTAACTTCACTAATCTTGTTTTCTCTACTTCCATTAGCCTTATACAAACGCATAATCATCTCAGCAGCTTCAGCTTCATCTTTACACTCTCTCATCAACTTCTCAACCTCAGCCTTAGGAAGCCTAACCTTCAACCTCACACCACCACCATTCTCATCAACTCTCACATCTCCACCATCACGATCACCACGACCACCACCACGACCACTATCATTATCGTCATCATCATCCACTTTCCTTTGTTTCATTATCGACAAGTCAGAAGCCGATCTCCTAGTAAGCACCAAATTATCAAGCCGTTCTTTCGCACTCATTACAATCCCCGAACGAACCCTTCTCGGCCTTATTTCCTTAGGAAGTTCCACAAGGAAATAAAGCCTCTTCGGTTGTAACTCTTTATGTCCTTCAATCGGCTTCGCTCTTACTCCATAATGCTTAACAGCTTCAGAGTCCAACAAAACAAGACCCGGATGATCCTTAAGCACTTCTTCGGCTTTTATCGGAGTTTTCAGCTTCATCGTTTCGCCATCTATTTTCATAATCTTTATACTCTTTTTTGAACCAAAAACGTTTCCCATTATGTAGCTTTGTGTAATAATGATTAATACTCACAAAACCATGCAAAGAGATGATTAAGTTGTATGAGAAATGTGTGTGTGTAACATGGTTGCATGAATTTATATAGTTCCTGATTTTTGGGCTACTTGGTCAATAAAGAAGGCACATTAAAACAGAAAAACCAAAGTACAACGTAGGCTTTCGCTATCGAAAAAACAAAATTAATATTAGTACTAAAGGTGATTTTCAACAACCATGTTTCAATATTCAACATGAGACCCAATTGGCAACAATATTTTAAATATGTTTCAATATAGTCGACTTTGTGGGAATTTTTTAATGAAAAAAGTGCTTATTTTAAGGAAATAATTAAAGACGTGACTAACGGAAATCAAGGCGTAGATTGAAGAAATTGTGAAATTTCAAAGGCATGGGAGAGTTGCATGTGAATATGAGATTTGTTTTGACTTTAATTAGTTTGTTTGTATGTGTAGAAAAGTACTTGAATTTCGTAATAGATAGATACTTTTTTTCTTTTGAGTATATGATTAAATATAATTCCGGTTCAAATGAAATGTTTTAATATTCCCACTATTTGGCATTAAAATTTTTATTGCATTGAGATTTTTTTTAAACTAGTTAAGAGATTTTTCTTGGTTATTGTTGACGTTGTCAAAGTGAATATAGGTGGGAGTAGGGCAGTAAATATATACTGCATCCATGGTCGCTTATTTGTAATATTTAATTGTCTTGTATTATTTGTATCTTTAATATTCCCACTATTCGGCACGAAATTCTTTGTTGCATGGAGTAATTATTGGTGCTAAAGATTTATTTGATTAAGTAAGGAGTGTATTGAATTGAGATTCTATAAAATTTTAAAATATTTTTTTAGCGATATTGTTTTATGATGTATAATAAAAAAATTAATAAAATATTTTAAATATATTTCATTGTGTTAAATTTTATCAACTTATATATATATATATATATATATATATATATATATATATATATATATATATATATATATATATATATATATATATATATATATATATATATATATATATATATATATATATATATATATATATATATATATATATATATATATATATATATATATATATATTTGTTAAAATTATAAATGATTGTTATTAGAAAATCAATTTAAATTGAATGGATCGAGACTAGATTCGTGAACAAATTACTTTCTTTATAGTCTTTCAAGTATTCAAAAATTGTCTTAGAGTTTCTACACAGGAATATCCAGGATAATTCAGCTTATACTCGAGCTTGCACACCAGGTCGAAGAGGGAAGTAAGTCGTAGGATAGAAGTCTCCCTTTCCCTATATATAGCCGGTGAGTGAATAAACAACCACAGGAGATCAGCCTTTCTTTACTCTTTCCAACTGAAAGAGAATCTAGCTAGGTTCGTAGTGTCAAAGACAGGAGGTTCACAGCACTTTACCTTGTTGTTCAACAATCTTGAAACCCATCAAAAGCAGTCTGTTTCTTTCAATGACCTTAGGAGGGGCTCATATGCTTTCAAAACGAGATCTTCTGTTGTATGTAGAGATTCACATAGATAATGTGTCGTTGCCTGTTGTTGCACCTTAAAATTTGACCAACCGGTTCCCTATCTGGCTTATGTTTCGATACATTTTGCATTCGCATTCGCATACGGCATGCAATGTATTTTTGTCAATCAAGATTGATTTTTATCATGATTAGAGCCCCTGGTGTTTCAGGCAGTACAGGCCAGCCAAAATAAAAGTCTGTTGAGAATTGGTGCTCATCTCCCGTGTTTTCAGACCGTCTCGGTGCCCGGGTTTCGCTACGGCTGCGTAATTGGGTTTTAGTCGAGTTAATTGGCTTCCTGGCATTTTTAGGATTTTTCTGTCATTTTTCTGAATTTTTAGTGCATTTAATTGATTTTTCTGAGTTTAATAGAGTTTTTTTAATATTTTTTAGAGTTTAAATAAATTCTCTTTTCATTTTTTAGAAATTAATAGTTTTTTTTAAGATTTTTAGATATTATAATTTTTTTTATAAATTTTAGAGATCAATTTTCTTTTAAAGTTTAATAGATAAATAGTTTTTTTCTTTTAATAGAATAGTTAAAAAATATATATATAGATAGTATTGTTTTTTTTAGAGTTTTATTGTTGTTTTTAAAGAAAAATAGAATAGATTTTAAAAATATAAAGATTAATTGTTTTTTAGATTTTTATTAGATTTTATTGTTTTTTCAAATTAGTATATTAGATTTTAAAAGAAAAAGAAGAAAATGTTTTTAGATTTTATTTGTTTTTTTAGAATTAATTAGGGTTTTAAAAAATAATTGTTTAGATATTAAATAATAATTTTCATTTTAAATTTAATTAGGTTTTAGTTTTAATTTTTATTTTTAGGATTAATTAGGGTTATTAGACTTTAATTAGGAGGTCAGGTTTTAATTTCCGTTTTATAGGTTGAATATGATTTATTAGAAGTTTTAATCAGGTTTTAGTTTTAATTTTCGTTTTTAGGGTAATTAGGTTTTTTCAGATTTAAATTTTTGTTTTATTTCAGTTAATTGTGTTTAAGTCACTAAGCAGGTTTATCCAAATGGGCTTATTATCCATTAAAGCCCAGAATCCAGTCAGAGTCCAATTCACAGCCACGCCACGTGTCGTATAAGAAGGACCTGCCACACGTACACTCCTTTCGCTCCCACCTCACTCTCTCTCTGATCCTGCATGCGCTCCACGTGTTACACTCTCAGACCCCACTCACACACGTGTCTCTCCCTCGCCTCTCCCCTCTGCCACCTTCCCCTTGCCGGACACTCCTACCGCCGACCATGCAATCGCCTTGCCTAACCACCTCCGACCACCAGAGCTAACTCCGACCACCGCCAACCGTCGCCGGAGCTGCTAAAAAAAACCCAGATTTTCCAGAAAACCCTTCGATCTTCATCTTCCTCCTCCGATCCACCTTCATCAACCATCTGTTTCCAGATCTTCATTATCAATTCACCAGGATTTTCTCAATCTTCAACCAGATTCTTCCAAGATCTTCATAGATTCCTCCTCACGTTCATCACTCTTCCAACGATTTTCCAGAAGAAATCTTTGATTCTCCTCAAGAACACTCAGCAACCTTCAACGTTGTTCGTGCGTTTTTCCAGATACGTTCATCATTCTTCAGCCTTCTTCAGTTTTTTTCCAGATTCCTTCAACGAGTTGCATCAGTTCTCAACCGGTCCTCCAAAATCTCAAGAACTTCCACCAGATCTCTTGTTCTGTGTAGATCTTCGCCGATCCTCTCGTCTTCAAGGATCCTCAAGCGCTCCGATCGTCCTCTATTCATAGATCCTTGCACATCTGGAGCTTCGTCATCTCCATCGTTTTTCGTTATCCATCTTCTTCAGCAAAATATCCAGGTACATCTTCCTCCTCTAACTCAGAAGCCTTCATAGTTGATTAGGGTTTTTGTTTTGTGATCGTTAGGTTGAGTATTTGAGTTTTGGTGAGACGAGTGTGGGTTAGGCTTGCTTTGAACTGAGGTATGATGGATGAGGTATTAGATTGATGAAT